AGAAACGAGTAAAATGATAACCACGTATGGTGAGTGTCGGGCGGGTGGGATCCGGGCAGCCTGGGCCTGCCCTTGACTCCCCGGCTTGCTGGGGGAGCGAGCGCCGGGGCACGCACCCGCTCGGTGAGCGAGCCCAGGCCAGGCAGCCGTGCCAGTGTCGATGCCAGCAGAAGGGGCAGGGCGTTTGCCGTGGAAATGGGGAAGAAAATGAGAGCAGGGGCCAGCCGAGCCCCTTGTGAGGGTGCAAGGTGGCACTGGCAACCCTGGAAAGCAAGTGGAGAGCCATCCTGTACCTGTGCTGTCCTGTTCCACAGCAACATTCCACGCAGTTATGGTCTCCCATGGTTCCTAGCTTGTAACTTGTAACGGGTTCCTTAACCTTGGGCCAGGGAATAAGCCTTTGGGGCTTGTGGCTGACTTCTCAGTCCCTCCTTACGGCTCTACGTTTGGTTTTCCTTCGCCCTGCGGGGAGAAAGGGTTTGGGTTGCTGCAATACTGAGGTCCGCTTCTGTGCTCATGCAGGAAATCGTATCCTAACGCTTGGGGAGGTCCCAAAGGATCAAGTCTATGCCTTGAAGCTCAAGGGGATTTCCATCTGCTTCTCTATGCTGAAGGCTGCGCTGAGCGGGAGCTACGTCAACTTCGGGGTGTTCCGTCTGTACGGGGACGACGCGCTGGACAACGCCCTGCAAACCTTCATCAAGCTCCTGCTCTCCATCCCTCACAGCGACCTCCTGGTAAGCCGGGATCAGCGGTGTGAGCACACGGCTGCGGGAGGCAGGTTGGAAGATCCCTCGGCAGAAGAGTGAACCTGTGCCACTCCCTGAACCCCAGCTCTAGGCTCAGCCCTGCAGGGAATTACAGCTCCACACCCCAGGGCCCCGGCGGGGTATGCGCCGAGTCTCAGCAGAGCAATTACCAAAATCCTTCCTCCTCTGGCTGAAAAACCCTTCCTGCGAGTGAAGGATTGTTACTGCCTGTGGGCAGAGGTCGCTGCCTCAGCAGTTACAGTGCCACCTGCTTGATCCGCCTACAGAGTCTTGCTCCTACCCAGACCTCGTACACAGAAACCCTTAAAGCCCCCCCAGTCCCACCCCCTGCCATGGACAGGGGCACATTCCATAGACCAGGTTGCTCCAAGCCTCATCCAGCCTGGCCTTGGACACTTCCAGGGATGGGGCATCCACAGCTTCTCTGGGCAACCTGTCCCAGTGCTCCCCACCCTCCCCAGGAAGAACTTCTTCCTGAAATTCAGCACGTTCCTCATTTCGCAGACCGGTGGCCAACCCGTTGCTCAGATGCAGCTCTGGAGCTGGGGTTGCTTTGCAGGATTCCCAGCAGAGCCCCTTCCCCCGGGGTCTGGGGGCTGCTGGGGGGATGGGGTGGCACCAAGCACAGCGCAGGCTGGGCTGATGGTTACAAGCTAGCCACGAGGCCTCACAAGTCTTCCTCTCTCCCTTTCTCTGCAGGATTATCCCAAGCTCAGCCAGTCGTACTATTCCTTGCTGGAAGTTCTTACCCAGGACCACATGAACTTTATAGCCAGTCTGGAGCCTCATGTAATCATGTATATTCTCTCTTCCATTTCCGAAGGCCTCACTGCACTAGGTAACGACTCCTGCTCTCCTCGTCCTCTCAGGGCTTTGCTTTGGAGCAGGGAAGGGTTTGGGATGCTTCGGATGCAGCCTCACAGATAAATTAAGCTGGTGGGGGGGTGGAATTTGACCTCTGTTAAAGCTGGAATGTTAGAGAGAGGGTGTTGTTGACCTGTTCAGGGCCAGGTGGTTCCCGCCTGCAACATCCCTGAAGGGATCCCTGAATGCTGCTTCCCCGGGAGCCTGCCCGGCGGAGCCTGAGCCCGGGCAGCACCCCAGCATCTCCCCAGCATCTCCCCTTCGCTGTTCCTGCAGACACCATGGTTTGCACGGGCTGCTGCTCCTGTCTGGACCACATCGTCACCTATCTCTTCAAGCAACTGTCCCGCAGCACCAAGAAGAGAACCACCCCTCTGACCCAGGAGAGCGACCGCTTCCTGCACATCATGCAGCAGCACCCCGAGATGATTCAGCAGGTAACGGGCGACGGCCTAGGGCCCGGGCAGCTCCCCACTGAGCCCCGGGGATTGT